ACCAGTCCACCTGGCTCTTAAAAGTCCTCCTCTGCTGAAGTCACCTTTTGGTGGACATTCACATGAGACACAAATATCTTTACTCCTTTGGCCAATTCAGAGAGCTCAATCCACATACCTCTTCCCCGTATATCCTTGTCACCAATTTCCCAGTCATGCTCCTTCTACATCCCAGACCATCAAGTCAAGCCATTGGCCACACACCTTCAATTCATATACAATCACACATCTGACCATTTCTTGTTCCATGCAGAGAGAACAACTGGATGCACGACTTGAAGTTCTACCCATTGGGAGGATTTCCCTTCAACACTGTCCTTCAAGGAAATCCCAGAAAGGGGCTACAGTGCCTCTGTTGTCCACTTATGAGTAGTGCCTGCATATTGCATAGAACTATCTGAATACCAAGCATGAGTTTTCTCTTCCTCAGTCAACTGATCATAAGGAACTCCCCATGAGGCCATAGGTGCAGACTGGGAAAAGGAAGGTAATGTGACTGGAGTGGAAACCATAGACATTTGGGCCAGTTCCTCATGCAATTTACTTGTTGCTTTAGGTCTTACTCAAGCCCAATCTCTTATATACCACTTCCATTTAATGATGGAGTGCTGCTGTACACTTCAAACTTTATGACTCTGTGGGTCAGACAACACCCAGTTTATGATGGGCAGCTCGGGCCTCATGGTGACTTAGTGGCCATGGATAGGCATTTGGTCTCTACTAAAGCCCAGTAACAAGCCAAAAGCTGTTTCTTGAAGGAGAGTAGTTATCTGCAGAGGATGGCAGGGCTTTGCTCCAAAATCACAAGGAACTGTGTTGTGATTCACCAATAGGAACCTGCCAAAAACTCCAAACAGTATCTCTATCTGCTACAGACACTTCAAGCACCATTGAATCAGCCAGATCATATGGCCAAAGTGGCAGAGCAGACTACACGGCAGCCTGAACCTGTTGCAGAGCTTTCTGTTGTTCTGGGCCCCATTCAACACTAGCAGCTTTCCAAGTCACTTGAAGTATAGGCCAAAGCAACATATTCAAATGAGGGATATGTTGCCTCCAAAAATGCAAAGGGCCCACCAGATGTTGTGCCTCCTTTTTAGTTGTGGGGGAAGCCTGATGCAATAACTTGTCCTTCACTTTAGTAGGAATATCTCAACATGCCCCACACCACTGGACCTCTAAAAATTTCACTTAGGTGGAAGGTGCCTGAATTTTTGTTGGGTTAATTTCTCACTCTCTAGCACACAGATGTGTCACCAATAAGTCTAGAGTCATTGATACTTCATCCTTACTAGGTCCAATCAGCATAATGTCATCAATGTAATGGACCAGTATGATGTCTTGTGGAAGGGAAAGAGGATCAAGATCCCTATGGACTAAATTATGACATAGTGCTGGGGAATTGATATACCTCTAAGAAGCATTATGAAAGTATATTGTTGGCCTTACCAGCTGAAGGCAAACTGCTTCTGATGGTCCTTTGAAATTAGTATTGAGAAAAAGCCAGATCAATAGCTATATACCAAGAACCAGGAGATATACTAATTTGCTCAAGCAATAAAAAACCATATCAGGAACAGCAGATGCAATTGGAATTACCACCTGATTAAGTTTATGATAGATAATCCACTGTCATCCTCCAAAATCCATATTTTTTTTGCACAGGCCAAATAGGCAAATTAAATGGGTATGTGGTGGGAATCACCACCACTGCCTCCTTCAAGTCCTTGAGGGTGGCAGTATCTCTGCAATCCCTCCAGGGATATGGCATTGCTTTTTGTTTACTATTTTTCCAGGTAGGGACAGTTCTAATGGCTTCCACTTGGCTTTTCCTACCATAATAACCCTTACTGCACAAGTCAGGAAACCAATATGGGAATTCTGCCAATTGCTGAGTGTATCTATTCCAATTTTGCATTCTAGAACTGGGATAATTGCTACAGGTTGGATATGGGGACCCACTGGACCCACTGGATTCACTGTGAGACACACCTGAGCTAAGACTCCATCAATGATTTGACCTCCATATGTCCCCACTCTTACTGGTGGGCCACAGTGACATTTTGGGTCTCCTGGAATTAGTGTCAGTTCAGAGGCAGTGTCCAGTAATCCCTGAAAAGTATGATTATTTCCTTTACCCCAATGAGCAGTCACTCTTGTAAAAGGCCTCAGATCCCTTTGGGGAAGGGTGGGAGAAAGATAGACAGGATAAATTTTTGGCAATGTAGTGGGGTCCTTCTTCAAGGGGACCCAGTCTCTTCTTCATTCAAGGGTTTGTGGGTCTGTAAATTGACTCAAATCTGGAAATTGATTGTGACTCTGTATTCTGATGATTCAATCTAGACTACTGTTCATGTGACCTAGACTTCTTCTGTCTATAAAGATCAAGTAAATATTTAGTAGGTTTGCCATGTATTTCACTCCTAGGAACATAATGACTAAGTAGCCAATGCCATAATTAAACATGAGTCAGAATATTCTGATTACAGTTTTGACTCTGCTGTCTATTATGGTAACCATGCCCACCTTGTCTTTGTCAATTAACTGCTGCCACTTGGGCCATACTACCGCAGGGTCCAATCAGCCCCATGGTAGTTAAGTGTCTTAGTTTAATTAGAGCAGTTCCCACTGTCAAATCTGGCTTACATAAAGTAGCAATCACAGCAGTCTTCAAGGATGCTGGGGCTCCCTTCACAAATTTGTTCCTCAACATAGTGGTAAAAGGTGTGTCCTCTGGGCTCTCCATTTCTGGGTCTAGGGGTCTAATCTGATAAATCCATTCTAACATTCCAATCTTCCTAAGCCTATGGGTTCCTTCTTCTACTTTATACAAAAGCAGGTATAAGTTGAAGAACTCTTCAAGTTGACTTAATGTAGGCCACCGCATAATCTATGCTTCCATCCATAAGCCAAACAAATAAACAATTAGATCCTTTCCTAACCTCTCGAGCTGAAACAATGAAGAAGAATCCCTACTTAGTGGGCCTAAATCAATAAATTCAGACCAATCCAAAGCTATATTCCTTGCCCCATTATCCCACATGCTCAGTAGCCATTCCCACACATATTCTCCAGGTTTTTGTCTGTACATGTTAGCAAAATCAAGTAAGACTTTTTGGGTGTAGCATACCATTTCTTCAGTCATTTTGTATTTTACCTTTTAGGACTCACTTGGACTTAAGTTTAGTTATAGGTCTAGCCACAACAATGGGTGGTTGGGGCAGTTCCTGAGAACATTCAGCAATGTCTTCCATGCCCTCTGCCTCAGGCAATGACCCAGCAGGAACAGTTGTTAATTCCATCGAATGAAGGTGGAAGGGCTAATGGTTTTATGGTAATCCCTTCAGATGGGAGGGATTCAACAGAATACACAGGCGCCATATCCTCATCTTCCTGATTATCTTCCCATATGTCCCCATTCCAGGTTTCAGGATCCCCTTTTTCCCAATCAATGCCCTCACTTTAACTTCAGACACTATTTTGGGATGGCAATTCAATTGACATTGTAATTCAGCCACCCTTACAATAAGACTCGGGGTTTGGGTTTCAGCAATAAAAACTCTATTACTAGAAGAAATAAGGCTTTCTTTCAGGGCACAACTGGAAACTTTGAGGTCTTTCATGTGGCACTTGAGCTGTGACTCAGCAACCCTGAACTCATCCCACTCTTTCACCACTTTTTCTAATGTAAGTAGAACTAACCAGCCAGCAGAATTCTTTATACTCCTCATGGTGACAAAATTGCACAAAAGTATCAAACCTGCCATCACTCAGAGCCTAACTTCTCAAAAATACTTGATCTACTGGAGGTGATATTTTGCGTATTAATGTTGCAAATGCCACAGATTAGCAGGGCCCTCTTTACTAATGGAAGCACAGTCACCAATGCCTTTATGATTAATCAAATTGGAGAATCAAAACAGAATTGATGAGAACCAATTTAGAAAACACATCCTTATGATTTTTTCTCTCTATAACCACTCCTGGTACAAAATGTGTCAGACTGGGTTCTCTAGAGAAGCAAAACCAGTAAACCTTATATATATATATATAAAGAGAGAGAGAGAGGGGAGCTCTGGTAGCATAGTGCCTACGGCACTTGACTGCTAACCAGAAGGCTGGTAGTTCAAACCCACCAGCCACTCCTTGGAAGGAAAGTTGGGCAATCTACTTCCATAGTGATACTGCCTCGGAAACCCAAGGAGGGGTCACTGTGAGTCGGGTCCAACTTGATGGCACATAACAACAATGTATATATATATAGAGAGAGAGAGAGAGAGAGAGAAGAGGAGAGAGAGATTTATCTTAGGAAAATGGCTCACCCACTTATAGAAGCTGGCAAGCCCCAAGTTCCTGGATCAAATGTCAAGCTGGAGGCTTTTCCTGACTCACACAACTGCAGGGGCTGATGAGCAGTATATTGGCTGTTGACTCTGATGGATGACAAATCCAAGATCATCAAGACAAATAGTGGATTGTTGCTCAACAGGATCCAGATCCACCCAAGAGTCTGTCTTTTTCCCAGGAAGCAGGCCACACCCCTAGGGAAACTCCCTTTCAATGGACTGGCTGCTCAGAACATATACATCCAATCTCATCATGGGACTAACCATATCACAACTGCTTAAACCACTCAGAATCATGGTCCAGCCAAGTTGACACACAACCCCAACTATCACAGTCCCTATCTTTGAAACTCTGTTAGTAAGATGGAAAATGATGGATTACATGGACATTATGGTCATACACAAATTATATGAATAATTACATTAGTTTAGATGTTCCATGCATTAAGAAGTCAGGTAGATGGTGGGTGGAGTGGGCATGCTTGCCAGAGTCTCACCAGGTGAGAACTTGTTTCCTTCTTTGGCTTTACAGATGATTGTTTCTGATATATTCTCATTTTAACACTATTTAGCTTTAATTTCTTGATTGGCTTTGTTATGTTTTTTCCAATATATTTTGAATTTGTCTCCCAATTAAGAATTAATAGATCTGTTTCAGCAAACCAGTAGCACATTGGAGGCTTTTCTTTCCTTAAAAACTTTTCTTAGAGATGCCTTTATGGCTTTGTTCTTTAGGCTATAAATCATTGGATTCAGTGTTGGGGGCACAACAGTATAGAGAACAGTAAGGAAAAAGTCTAGCATAGTTGGAGAGTCAGAAGGTGGCTTTACAAACTCAAAAACTCCAGTAGAGATAAATAATATGACAACACATAGATGGGGCAGGCAAGTAGAAAAGGCTTTGGCTCTCCCCTCAGCACATGGGATCCTCAGCACAGTAGAGAATATGTGTGTGTAGGAGAGGCCAATTGAGATGAAACAGAGAAATCCCACCAAGGACAGGAAGCCTATGACCCCAAGCTCACTGATGTAGTCATTGGAACAAGAGAGTTTAAGGAGTTGAGGGATATCACAGAAGAACTAGTGAATGATATTGGCACCACAGAAGTGGATGGAGAAAGTAGTAGCTGTATGCATGACTCCAGAGATGACCCCACTGATCCAGACAGCTAAGACTCCATGAACACAGGTGTTGACATCCATGATGACTTTGTAGCGCAGTGGAAGGCAGATGGCCAAATAGCGGTCATAGGACATCACTGTGAGCATGGCCATCTCAGCAGAACAACAGACAGTGAATGCAAAACACTGCAATATGCACTCCCAGAGGGAAATATTGCCACTATGCACGAAAGAGTTGCAAATGGATCTAGGTACAGTCACAGTAATATAGCACAAATCCAAAAAGGAGAGATGTTTCAGGAAGAAATACATAGGTGAGTGGAGACTATGATCTATGGAAGTTGTAGTGATAATGAGAATATTGCTAGTTAAAGCCACCAAGTATAAAACTAAAAACACAGAAGCATGCAAGATTTCTATCTCAGGATTGCCAGAAAAACTCATGAGAATAAATCCATTCGTTATAGTGGAATTAGTCATATTTTTTTCTCTGTTCCTAAGAGCAATGCTGGCTGCAAGATAAGATGGACACCCATAGAAAGAAAATTTTATTATTTAACAATTGAATCCACTTATTCATTGAAGTTAAGGTGGGAAGTCAGGTACACCAGTTTGTCATTGCAAGTGTGAAATAGCTTCAAATAATAATAACTATGCTGAACAATTTTAAGTGACATTGCTTCAGTCACAAAATGTATTGGATAAGGTAGATTATATATTTTCATGTCACCCATTTCAAGCAAAGGAAATGATAATACATATCATTTTATTAAAAAAAAAAAAACTCAAAAAAAAAAAAAAAAAACCCACTGCTGTAGAGTTGTTTCCAAGTAATGGCGACCCCTCCTTGGGTTTCCGAGGGGTAACTCTGTGGAAATAGATTGCCCAGTGTTCCTTCTGAGGAGTGGCCTGATGGGTAGGACACACAATAAGCCACTGCTGTCAACTTGATTCTGACTCATAAAGACCTTACAGAACTATGGGACAGAGTAGAACTGCCCCATAGGGATTCTAGGGCTGTAAATCTTTTCAAAAGCAGATTGCTTCCTCTCTGTCTCTCAGAGCAGCTGGTTGGTTTGAGTTAGCAGACCAATGTTTTAAACACAGAGGCACTAGAGCTCCTTTTAATGGGACATAAAGACCATCAAAATTTTACATGCATTAAAAGTTTCATTTAGTTCAAACTAAAACCAACCAAACCTACTGCTATAGAGTCCGATCTGACTCATAACGGTTGGGTTTCCAAGGCAGTATCACTACGGAAGTAGATTGCCCAATCTTCCTTCTGAGGAGTTGCTAGAAGGTGTGAACTGCCAGCCTTCTGGTTAGCTGTCAAATGCCTTAGACACTATGCCACACAAACATGTATATTTATTAAGTCATTTCTGAGGTACTTATTCTTTCCTAGTAATCTTTCTATATATTCATATACCCCTCCATCACATGTGTTTTGTTGTGTAATTTTATGCTTTTCTTTCAAGTATGAGAGAATAAATTCTTAATTTTTTTGGTAAACATTTACTAGGAAAATAAAATCAAGAGCACATTATATATTGATAGTATCTATACAATTATGATATGCCAAACATACAGTATCCCATAAATGGATCTGAAAAATTCTAAGTTTCTATCAGATAAATAGCAGGCCATACCTTTCCCACTGTGTTCTTAAAAAAACATAAATGGCTAATAAATACATAAAACATATTTATCATACCCAAATTGAATACAATTGAAAGCAACAATGTGATAATATTTGTATTGATCAAATTTGCAAAGATTAAAAAATAAAATACTCAGATCCGTTCAGTATGAAGACAAAATATAAAACATATAGCTAGAAATTTAAATTTGTGCATGTTCCCTGAAAACAAAGCTCCCTGAGCAGGAGTGTTAAAACAGTCTGTCCTTTAAACCAATTCAATTTATGCTAAATATTTTAATTAAATAACATGAGTAAGGGGTAGTTAGAAGTATGTTTATTTGGAATAATTACAATGTTAAAAAGTGGACAGATCATATAATGTTCAAATCAAATATTATTTTTACTTTGAAATCTTTTTTTCATGAAGTGAGATAGTGATCATTATTTTCATTTAAATAAAAGTACATATAGACTATATACAGGCTGTCGGGACAATGACAGGCATGGGTGGTTCAGCAACCCACTTGTTCCACTTTGGGAGTTTTGGTAGCATAGTGCCTAAAGCCCTCGACTGCTAATAAGAAGGCTGGTGGTTCAAACCCACCAGCCACTCCTGGGAAGGAAGGTGGGCAATCTGTTTCTGTAGTGATACCACCTTGGAAACCCAAGGAGGGGTTGCTATGAGTTGAGTCCTACTTGACGACACATAACAACAACAACACTATATACACTGTATGCAAATATGTATGAATGAATATAGAATGAAGAACATCAGGGAATATAGCACATGCTTATTTCTGGAAGGTTTAAAGGATTATTATCCTAACCTCCAGAGATCCTTCTTTTTGTTCCCCAGCACTAAGTCCAGAGATGTACCTACAATAAGTTATGTAGCTGAAGGTTACGGATGCTTTAGTGTTTTATAATGCACTATGTAATTAATTCTATTATAAACTCCAAGATTGACAGAGGGTGCCTGGACCAGAAGAGGCAGTCACCAGTGCACATTTAGTCTAACCTATATGAAAACTGATTCAACCTTATGGTTTGTGTGTGTCTGTGCAGTTATTAATCACAGATATTGAGAATGGCACTTCATGCTTCTAAAGATTCTAATGATACATTTAAGAGTTCCTGGGAGGTGCAAATGGTTAAGTACTCGAATACTTTACACTTCTAGGAATCCCAATGGCATTTAGGAGTCCCTGGCTGGCATCTAAGACATTTAACTGCTGACCAGAAGGCTGGAGGTTCAAACCCACCAGTCACTCCTTGGAAAGAAGATTGGGCAATCTGCTTTAGTAGAGATGCCACCTTGGAAACCCAAGGAGAGCTCGCTATGAATCCAATCTACTCTATGGGAGTGAGTTTGGTTTCTTGGGTAGCATAAATGGATAAATGCTCTAACCGAAAAGTTGAAAATTTGAATCCATCAAGAGGCAGTTTGGAAGAAAGCAATCTTCATTTGAAAGGCCACAGCCATGGAAAATCCAATGGCATGCAGTTTTACTTAACACGTTGTCATGAATCTGAATACTCACTCAAACTCTTTCTCCTGAAATAGTAACTCCCTTGTTGATGTTTTTGTGGTCTCTGGAAATTTCCATTTCTATGTTGTTAGAACAATGCAACTGATTTTTTATCATCTAACCCAGCAGAATGGACTTCATTTAATGTATGTGGAAATATTTCATGTTTTACTCAAAAGAAGTCTTTCCATCAATTCATATGTACCTTTGGGAGCTCTGGTGGCATAGTGCCTGACATTTGACTGCTAACCAGAAGGCTGGTGGTACAAACCCACCAGCCACTCCTGGGAAGGAAGACTGGGCAATCTATTTCTGTAGAGATAGTGCCTTGGAAACCCAAGGATGAGTTGCTATCAGTTGAATTCAACTCCAGGGCATGAGTTTGGTTTGGATTTTTTGTTATTGACATTAATTAATTAAGTAGTCCTATAGTGGAATTCTGTTCCACTATATTCTGTTTTCTTCATTATGCTTACCTGTGTATTTCTTTTCTCTTTCTTGAATAAATTTATATTCATTATTATTCACATATTTATCTAACTAATCTATTTGTCCATGTGAAAATAACATTATTATATTAAGGGATATAAATATCTATCTATCCATTGCCATAGAGTCAATTCTGACTCGTAGTGACCCTATAGCATAGAGTAGAACTACCCCATAGAGTTTCTAAGGCTGTAGATCTTTTATGAAAGCTGAACTGCCACATCTTTCTAACTCAGAGCAGCTGATGAGTTTGAACCGTTGACCTTTCAGTTAGCAGCCAAATGCTTAACTACTATATCATCAGGGCTCCTGAATATTTATCTAATCCTTATTTAATCCACTGATTTCCATATCTATCTTTGATACTGTGAGTAGAAGCAGAGAAATAAATGAATATGGAGTGCCTCATTGTTTGGTACTTAGATACCATATCAAGATATTTTTAGCTTTCTTCATAAGTTATCACAGTATTCAAAAGGAAATACTATAATAATCTCATTTTATTTTGTGTAAGAGATAAAGAGAGTCACCTTTCTTCTTTAATGAATTTCCACAGTCTGTCTAACCTTCTACTTTGAGTGTTGATGTAAAATTTTACATCAGTTGTGCTTCTTTAATCCACTGACCTTTTTCTCCAATTTATTGACAATTTATTCATTAGAAGGGGGATACAAAATCTCATGGCTGTATCTATTTTAATTGAATATTGATATTATTTGAACATAACTAAATACCTTATATGAAAAGTGATGATTTTTACTGTTTATTTTTGGTTGTAAATCTTTTTATGTATTTCTTTTTAAATATGAACCGTACATTTGGCCATTCTGGGATTTTACTGGGTTTTATTTGCATCAGCATTTCTTTCTAAAACAGAAGAGATCAGAAAGCTGGATAACTCGTCCAGACAGCAAATGTGTCCTCAAGTGCTTCTTAGAATTCTTATACTCTTACAATCTTTCTCAATGGGATCTTTTCTTCTTTGTTTTGTGAAAATGGAAATATGGTTATTTTCTGACCTTGTATTATTTTGATCTATCATCTTTTTTCACTTTTCTACAATGTATCAATGATTCTTTCTGTGATCTCTAGTATGGGAAAGATCTCATATCTCTCTAAGCCACTCTTAAGGTCAATGAATACTAAGAATAAAAGAAATATCAAACAATGTCATTTCTTGGTCCATTCATCCCAGATGTCTTTAGTAAAGACAATAAAAGCATGCATTGCTAGGAGATGAGAATTGCAATCCATACAAGGTTTCTGTAATGTAAGTAGTTTACAACTTGCTTGTTAGAATTCCTAATTTTCATTTAAACCATTTGCATTTAATAGTTTTTTATTTCAGTTTTTATGAATTAAATGAAAAAATGCTGGGCATTATCACTCATTCAAACTCTGTAATAATCATTGGCTTTCCTTTATCTCTCCCTTCAGTGTCCGAAAAAACTCACCAGAACACATCCAGAATTTTTCACTCTAAACCTGGGCAGTTGTCAATGTGAGTAGCTACTACTAAGCAGAAGTCGCAGATCTGTGTAATTCAGTCATTTTCTGTAAAGTCTGGTCAGTGATGCAAAGGAAAGTAGGCCATTTTAATCTGCCTTTATCCACCAGAGTTTAGGTGCTCTGGGCATTTGATGGTCCTTTTAAATACCCTGGGACCAAAACTTGCAATTACATGGAATTTCCTATGGAGTAGTTTTCTGTTGCGGTAACACTTAATTACCAGGGATATTAGTTTATTTGTGTTCTTCGGGCAAAATTTTTGAAAATTATTGTAATTTGCCCTTCAGATTCAAGTTCACCTACAAAAA